CCACCTCCAGAAGGTGCTTCCCAGATTCGGGAGACGCCAGCTGCACCTGCAGGAGCACCCCGGCCATCACCACCACTGGCTCCAGCAGACAGCACCCACCACCACCCAAACCCCACCACCAACACCCCAGCATCTCATCTGCCTCCTGAGGGAAGGGGAAGTCCCACCAACACCTGCCCAGTGTCCCCCAGCCATGGTGTCACCCAACGCCCGCGGCTCACCTTGACCTCGTCCATCCAGTCGATGCTGTGGAGCATCTCTTGGAAGAGCTGCTGCAGGGTGAGGTTCATCTCCAGGCGCTGACGCCGGGCGGCCAGCAGCTCCAGGAGCTGCTCCCAGAGCCGCAGGATATTGTCCTTGCGCCTGTTGATGCGCTGGATGTCGTGGTAGCCCTCCACCTCCAGCTCCTTTGCCACCGCCTCGATGGCCTGCACCCGCTCCTTGTAGGCAGCCGTGTCCGTTTCAATGGCCTCGTGCTTCTTCTTAGCTGCCTCCACTGCTGGCAGGTCCTGGCCGAAGTTGTCCTGCCCCAGCACAAAGCCCGTGGTGAGGCTCCAGTGGGGTGCCCCAGGCCCTGGGGTGGGCGTCCCCGGACTCACCTGGGCCACCAGGCGCTGGTTCTCGTTCAGCCAGGCCTCCCTCATGGCCGCTTTGCGGTCGAAGCGCCGCGCCAGCTGCTCCAGCTTCTCCTGCCGGATGAGCTCGGTGCGCAGCGCCAGCTCCCGCTCATGTTCTGCTTTCTCCAGCTGCTCCCAGGCCTGGGGGAAGGCGGCACCGGACAGGGGTGGCACCCGCATCCCCCCACCCACCCGTGTCTTGTTCTGCTGGTGAATCCCAACATGCTGGAAGTGGCTGGAGGACCCCACCCTGCCTCTAGAACCCAAACTACCCTGGGATGGACCCAACCTGCCCTAGGACCTGAGCTACCCTGGGATGGACCCAACCTGCCCCAGGAGATGGACCCAACCTGCCCCTAGAATCCAAACTACCCTGGGATGGACCCAACCTGCCCCAGAAGATGGACCCAACCTGCCCCTAGAACCTGACCTACCCTGGGATGGACCCAACCTGCCCCAGGAGATGGACCCAATCTGCCCCTAGAACCTGAACTACCCTGGGATGGACCCAACCTGCCCCTAGAACCCAAACTACCCTGGGATGGACCCAACCTGCCCCAGGAGATGGACCTAACCTGCCCTAGGACCCGAACTACCCTGGGATGGACCCAACCTGCCCCAGGAGATGGACCCAACCTGCGCTGGAACAGCCTGGGGAGCAAAGCCCTTGGGGATACCATGGGAAGAGCTGCCCCCAGGTCGTAGGGTGCTGCTGGAGCAGCCGTGTGTCCCCAGGGCACAGCACATGGCCAGGCTGTGAGGATGGGCCCCATACCCGGTTGATGTCGGAGACCAGGCGCCCCTCGTGCGGGGTGTAGACACGCTGGTTGTTGGCTCGCATCCGCGACTGGATGGTGAAGAGCAGCACCTCCAGGTTGCCCTTCTCCTGAAACCTGCCCCAGAGAGCGCTCAGCCCAGGGCACCCATGGGTGCTCACCACCACTGTGTGGGCACCGGGGGTCTCAGGGGCACTTACTTGGGGGGCTTCTCCACGGTGCGGTAGGTGCTGAAGGCTTGCAGCTGGTGCTGCACCCCACTCAGTGAGTTGGCAAAGCTGCGGCTGTCAAGGGAGGCAATGGTCTGCTCAATCCAGGTGAGCAGGTTGGAGGCCAGTACCCCATAGTGCTTGATCATCCGCTCCGTCTCCTTGGCGTGCTCAATGACCTGCAGCGGGGCCAATGGTGAACACCGGGTGCCGGCACCCCGGCAGAACCCCCCTTCCCCAGAACCGTCCCCTACCTTGCCCAGACGCCTGCCCTCCACCTCCAGCACCTTCATCTTGGAGAAGTAGTGGTAGAAGGCCACCACGTAGGTGATGATGGACTTCTCGTCGGGGTTCTCCGTGAACACATCTGCCCGGCACGAGCGAGAGGTATCAGTCCTGACCCAGTCTCTGCATCACCCTGGCTTCACCCCAGCGGCAATGAGCCACCACAGCCCCATGAGTTACCCCCTTGCTCCCACCCAGACCCACTTCCATGGGGTGGAAACCTCTCCGTCCCTCCACAGGGCCTGGGCATGTCCCAGGGTGCAATGGGGAAACTGAGGCAGGAGGGTCAGCAGCAGCAGCCTCACCTTCAGGGTCAAGGAGCGGGGTGATGCCCAGGTGCCGCTCCGCCACACTGAACGCATGCTCCAGGTTGTGCCGGGCGTTGGATTTGGTCAGGTTTTGGAAGTCAACCAACTCAGGCCTGGGGACACAGGGTGCAGGATGGTGGTGGCACAGCTGTGGGACATCCCCCGGTGCCACTGCCACCCTGGCACATCCCAGTGCCCGCCACAGTGCCACCTACCTGTGCTTGTGGATGAGGGCGTTGAAAGCCAGCCCATCCTTCCAGCTCGAGGTGAAGTTGGTGACGTTCACGTGGGGATATCTACGATGGGGACAGGGCATCACTGCCACACTCTGGGCACCCCCGGACCCTGGCACCATGGGGTGTGGGTCCCACCACCTACCCTGCCGTCTTCATCTGACACCAGAGTAGCAGCGCATCCCTGGCAGAGCGCGTCTCCTGGCCCTCTTGTGCTGGCACAACGATGTCCTGGATCTGAGGGCAGAAGGACATCCCGGGGTTGAGGGAGGACATCCATGCAGGAGGACTCCCTCTCGGGAACGAGCCATTGGGTGCTGAGCTGAGGGGCGCCCCCGTCCACCCAGTCCCACCTGGAAGCGGAGGATGATGGTCCAGATGAGGCCGAGCACAAGGCGGTGGTTGCCATCCACAATGTCATGGGAGCCCATGTTCTCCAGGTGCACCCGCTGCTCCTTCAAGAACTGCAGGGCCTTGTCCACATTCTCCAGGCAGTGGATCCGCATCCGGCCCTTGGTGGGCTTGGGCTGGGACATGACAGCACTCAGCACCCTCCCCTCCACTCTGGGCACCCCCACCCCTGCCCGGGGACGCTGCTGCTGCCACCCCCAACCCTGGTGGACCCTTGGTCAACACCAAGGTCAAAAGCCTTGGTGGAGCACCAGAGGTCTTGGGGCGAGGCATGGCACGGCACGGGTCCCAGGGTCCCCAGCTGGATGGGAGTCCTACCAGAAGCTCTCCTGACAGCACCTCCAGCAGCTTGATGAGCACCCGCCCGTCCCGGAGGTCCATGTAGAGGTCCGAGATGCGGCAGGTGACACGAGCCAAGTGTGAATTCACCCACTTGGTGAAGGTTTTCTTCTGCACGGCTTCCCGCTCATCTGCAACGAGAGTGGGCACGGTGGCACCGGTGGCGGGGACAAGCCGGGAGGACTGAGGGGACCCGAGACCCATCCCCGACCTGCCAGGGCTTTGATGCGGGAGCGCTCGAAGAGGCGCGCTGAGCTGTTGTCGTTGTCCAGCTCATCGTCGGAGGCATCCCAGCGGACGTTGACACGGCTGTACTGCTGCTGCAGCTCCAGCTGCTCG